CATCTCCATGGCAGTGATTCCTAATTGTGACGGTCCCACTTCCCTCTCCATTCCCCATTTCCTCTCTCCATTAATCCGTCCATCTGTCTCTCTTTCGAACACCAGGACATTCTCAGCAGTCAGTGGCGGTCCTGTGCTATGCTTGGAAAGTCACAGGCCCGTCTCCTCCAAGAGAAATAAGAAAAAAAAAGAAAAAAAAGGCCTGAAAACGGCAAGCATCAAATAAAACCTTGACAGGGAGCTATAAACATGCTTGTTAAGCATCTCTGTGCGCCAGTGCTCAGTGCCATTACACATGGCTATAGTATACTGTCTATAATGTGGCTAACTGCTGGACTGTCAGTGCTTCACCAACACTCTCCATCATTCCTTCTCTCACCTATTCACTTGCTCTCACTCACTTTGTCTTTCTCACTTTCCGCTTTTTTCATCCCCCACTTTCCCTCCATTTCCTTCTCCTAATGTCTCTTCAATTCATCTCTGGTTTACTTTATTAAGCTTTGGCCATTGATCAAACACTCTCTAAAGTCCAACTTCTGACCACCGCAGAGGGTAAAATAAACAATTTCCCAGCGATGTCATAGCTCGGATTGCTTGCACAGGCACCAGCCTTCGACCTCAAGCTTTTGACCAGCAGCAGTAAAAGCAGACAGCTAAAATAACCACATAAGGTCGAGCATATTGAGTTTGGACTAGTTAGAAACAGGTCACGGTAATTATACAGCTATTTGTCTCCTTAAAGAAAGACCGGAGCATTTTTAAATCACAGAGTGACTTAAGTTACATCCTGTAGAAATCATCAGATTTATATGCCAACTTCGCTGAAAGCAAATTGCGTCCAGTTAAGTAAGAGAAGCAGCTTTCCACCATAGCTGCTGAAAATATGTCATGCATTTACATAGAACTCAAAGTATCAGGTATTCTCCGTTTCTTGGGGGATGCCTACTCCGAAGCTCTGTTCATTTAAAAATGGCCCGATGAGTGGCAGGTTTCGGGTCCACTTGTCGACATCCTAATATTCTGGCCGGCGTTGCGTCCAACAGGATTTTTAGAATCTGTTTCTCTGTGTGCGCATATTTCTACTTTTCCATCTGTTGTATTCTTTTGATCCTTAATGAGCAGATATTATAACAACAGGGATTTCCAGGTGATCAGTTTCTACTCTTCAAAATTCCAGCAAATCATCGAACACTGGAATAAGTTTCAAAATAGCAAAGTTATTTAACTGTCCTTGGCAGATTCTAACAAAGTACAGCTAAAAACTGAAGAAAACAGTTATTATTAATATTACCATCACAATGTTGTGGTTGTAAAATCCGAGACAACGCTAATCTGTTGCTTTCCCATGCTTCTGCTTTTTTTTCACTTTGTCTGCATGTTTCATCGAATAATCCTGTCACTTCAAGCAAATCCAACATATTCAAGCATGTGTCCTGCTATATAATTTTATGTAGTTTCCAACTGTCAAGCACCACACACTTTATTGCTGAACTTTCATTCACTCTATTAGAGGGTTTCTGTTTCCATAGACCACACAAGCGCAGCGCAGTTAGATCAGAAGTTCCTTTTGCCACTTTCTAAACTTTTACACCAAAAAAACTTCAATTCTGACCAAAGTACAAAAAAAAGGAGCCTTGTGAAGGTTAAAACAGGCGCGCTATTTCTGAAAGCGTGTAATTTGGTTTCTTGGGGAAGCCGCTGCAAAGTTTTAGGTTCACATGACATCACTTTCATTAAGACACAATGACATCATCGCGCTTGTGAGCTCGCCGAAGCTTTGAAACGCCTGACAGAGCACAATTTATGGTTAAGGATCTCTGGCAAAGTGATGACTGCTGACTTTCTGCTGCCATTCTGTGGAGTGAGAGCATCATTACACACACACACACACACACACACACACACACACACACGAACACACATACACAAAGTGACGTAATGGTTCAGGTTTCCCGTGATTAAATATACAGTAGCGTGCCCCACTGAATGTAATGTAACTTGTATCGTCCCGACAGTATTTCTGTCCTCAGCTCTTTATAAAACACTGACAGTGTGGAGAGAACAAATGTGACCCTCTCTCGACCCGGAGACTCAGGTTCAGTCTGGCGCAACGACAAACGGCTACAGTTTCAGTGGTCTGTTGCACATGGCTCGAGCCAAAGATACAATCTGTACAAACTGTAGGGAGCAGCACTAAAAAACAGATGGAATAATTCAAGTCAACTCTGTGAAGCTTTCACTCATGCCACTCTGGGAGACTCTGATGTGTCTAACAGTCTGCAATGTGTTTAGCTTTAGTATTTTAGTATTTAGTAGTGCGAACAAGGGCTGGATTACAAAGAGAGGAAAACAGAGAACTGCTTAATGGCCCCCAAGGAACTTAATTTCATCTAATTTTAGTCTATACAATTTGATTAACTGCACATTTGTGAGAAATTTGCACCACCAGCAAGAATACCAGCAATAACAGAGTCTCCATCCTCCCTCTTGTGGATCTGGAACTGTGTCAAAATCTAGTTGTTGTTTTAGTTCAGATTGTTATCATTTGGCAATTTGCTAAATTCTTTTAAGGTGGCGTTATTGTCTAGTCAATTATGTTCATTGTTTTCCTCAGTAGTTGCTGTTGCAACAACAAAACAGCAACAATATTCACTTGTGAGATGCTTGGAAATTTTTGGCAATTTTACCTAAAAGCTAATTTGTATATTTCGACCCTTTGGGAAACATGCAACACCAAAAAGCCCTCCTCCGTGTTTCTATGGGCTTCTTCATGCTTCTGCATTTTGGGCCCAAAGATCAGAGTTCCTGTCCAGTTGAGAGCATGTGTGTCTGAGACTTCTGCCGGCTGACCAAACTGACTTCTCTTGGCTCTTTGTCATGTGGCTCGGCTACATTTTCCAAACACTACTGGGCCAACGGGATCAAATTATGATAGTAAAAGAAGTTATTCTGGGAGAGGCTTGATACTCAAAAAATATATTGTCCATTTTACAGCTGTTACTCGTCTTGTCCATTGTGTATGGGGAAGTGATTTTTTAGGGCAGTTTGTGTCGCCTGATGAACATGAAAGTTAAAACTCCCAGACAACGAACCATCTCAGAGAGAAAGTGAACAAACAGGTTGACATATGCCTTTTATTATGTTACATACACTCTTCAGCCGCAATATTAAAGCCACTGACAGGTACACATCTTGTTTCAATGCAGTTCTCTGCTGGGAAAGTTTGGGTCTTGGCATTCATGTGGACGCATCACCTATATACCTAAACATTTGCGCAAACCAAGCATGCCCACTGCTGGCAATAGTACTTCCCAACAGGGACGGCTTGAGGAACACAACAAAGAGCCCAAGCTGTTGACCCAGCCAGCAAATTCCCCCAACTTTCAATCCAATTATCAGTGGAATGCACCAAAACAAGCCCGATTCATGGAGGATCCACAGGGCCCAGGTGTCAGTCACGACAGGACATCCCCACAGCTCCTGTGTCCATGCCTTAATGGGCCAGAACTATTTTGGCGGCACAAAGGGGATCAACACAATGTTAGCCGGGTGGTTTTAATGCAGTTGCTGATGGATGTATGAGCAGTGCAGTGATAATGCTTCTTCTTCTGATTGGAAACAATGCTTTGAGGATAGGTTGTTAGTCTGGAAAGAGCCAATCCTTCCTTTATTAAGAGTTTTCATGCAAAATAATTAAAATGCTTACGCTTTCTCCACAACTCAGCAAATGCACATCAGCAGTCAAAAGTTTGTGTGTAGCGTGCGCACTTGATGTCTGTGTTTCAGGAAAGCGAAGACAAATTAACGAGCGCATACTCTTGTTTTGACCTCCAGCAATGACCACTAGACTCCTGTGGAGGGCCCTGTGCCTACTGGCCCTACTCTGCACCGTGTCGCACTTCAGCTCGGCCACCAACCACCCGGACCCCTCAGCCACAGAGCAGGGAGTCACCTTCAGCCACGTCTATAAAATTGACCTCCCTGGGAGCTCCAGTTGTAAACTAGAAAGCGTGCCAATGCAGGACAATACAGGTAATGAACAAAGCTAGAGCTTAATAAGAGATTGACAGAGAAAGCACAACTAGAAACAATTACAGACATAGTAGTATGGGTATGTGTATGCTTTTCCTCTGTGTATTGGTAGTTCTGGGCTGTTCACTTTTTAATTGTGTTTAATGCTTGCTACTTCTGTGTATGACCACTGGGAAGCCTGTTAGCATATTTGGTAATTAAGAAATTAATTTTGTCATATTTTATAGGTCTGCAGACAGAGACCACAACAAATGGAGAGAATGATATTATCTTCAAACACAACATTAGACTACAGACACCAAAGTGTGACTGTGATGAGTCGGAGAGCTTCAAGTCTCTGTTGTATAGAGTCAACGGACTGGAAGAAGAAGTCAACTACCTAAAGACGCAATGTAGTCAAGGATGCTGTGGAAAAGGCGGCGCTGCAGGTAGGCATAACGGCTTTGTTACTAGCTAATATAGTTGGAAAGCCGAGATGGCGAGTCAACCTTTGGGAAAACAAGGGGAAAGTGGAGGTTGCAGGAGACTTATTTTACACCCTGACAACAGTGTTTCCTCTAAGCCAGCTATTTTATTCTGATATGCATATGTGGAGGGATGTAATCCATAAAAAATGTGAGACGGCGTCCAAGTAACTACAATCATTTCCCCTATCTGTCTGTCAAGGTGTGGACACAAGCTGTAGTGGCCATGGTACCTACCAGCACGACTCCTGCAGCTGCCTCTGTAACCCCGGATGGGAAGGCCCAGATTGCTCCACGTCCTCCTGCCCCGACGAGTGCAATGACAACGGTCGATGCGTGGACGGGAAATGCGTGTGCCATCAGGGCTACACGGGAGATGACTGCAGCCAGCTGATGTGTCCGGACAACTGCAACGACAAGGGACAGTGTGTGGACGGGAGATGCGTGTGCTTCCCGCACTTCACCGGCGAGGACTGCAGCGTCCAGAAGTGTCCCAATGACTGCATCGGCAACGGCCAGTGTGTGGACGGCCAGTGCGTCTGCGATGAAGGCTTTTATGGGGAGGACTGTTCACTAGGTAAGCTATTCAAAATACTGTTTGGAACCAGATTTGCAATAGTGGTTTTCAATAAAGAGGCAAAATTCTTTCAGAGTGTCAACAAGGAAAGACAAATCATTCTTTGCTCCTGTTTGAACTGTACCATGAACATATTGATCAATGTGAAAGATAATTTTGCAAGAAAGAAAGCCTCAATATGTCGTTAATTTTATTTTTCTCAAAGTTATCGATAAACATAATATGCGTAGCTATGACATGATTAAAAAAATCACAATTCGATCATTTTTTTCTCGTGCCGTTTTCCAAAATTAGGTGGCCCACCAGAAGAAGTGGAACTCACACAAAATAGTCTTTCAGCATTGTAGAGATACTTTCAGAACAGTGTTTTCAGTGTTTTGAAATGGTCCTCTGGAGTTTTCCGACTTTGCCGGTTAATTTACTTTTAGAAGAACCAGTGTTTAGCTCCATGACCTCAAGCTAGATAAGGTGCCTGAATTAAGGTAGCCTCAGTCCACAGACTTCTGTGGAGACAACTAGCGTCTGAGTCAACATTTTTCCCCCCTGAACTTTTTATTATTCTGTATGTTTGACCTAAGCTTGCATTTGCTTTGATGTGTGTTTCTCATGAGACTTAAGGATTCACATTTAACTTTGTTATACAGTCACCTCTGTGGCTCTGACATTAAGGTGAGCATTTTACCTGTTATCTCAAAGAGCACAGATGCTACAAGGAGCTCGGGGACCATCAAAATTATAACACGTGCCCCTAATGCCCAGTTCACCTTCGTATAAATTCCTATCCTTCGTCATTTAGTAAAAACTTTTAGGACCTGCCTGAATAATTCTGAAGAGTAACGCAGTTGTGCTTGTGTCAGCTATCTGCTACCATCTGTTTCATTCATATTTCAGCAGAGCCGGCTCATGCATTAGTTGAGCGGCAATTACCCGACGAGTAACATTCAGTCTTATTCATGCAGGTGTACAAGGCAGGCTGTTTTACTGGCGGCTGTCGCTTTGGCTTTGCTGCAACATCATGTCAACAACTCGACACCAGCAAAAATAAGACGCCTACGACACCTGACTTGAACAGCTTTAACAGCTCCCTTAAAACAGCTGCCTCACCCACTAAATCCTCGCTGCTAACCGTTTGCAGTAATTGGTCAGCTCAGTTATGCAAGTGTTTTTAACTGAACCTGAAGTGATTTCAGTCATCATAATGGCCATTGTGACCTACATCTGTGGAATTCAAAGCATCTCTCCCGGCAGTTATTTCAGATATAACAGCTGAAGGGGCCCTTTCAGCAGGCTGACCCCGTGACCACTGCATCTTTGGCCTCCAGACAACTTATGACATCAGGTCACATAATACCACAGGAATATAAGAAGACCCATCAGTCTTTTTGGAGCGCCATCTGGCTTGTACCCTGCAGAACAATCATCACCTTTCCTGCTAAATGCACTGCTCACCAAACCTTCTATTACTGTACCGCCTCAGGAGCAGGAGGACAAAATTGCATTTTGCAGCAATTTAATGCCAAGAAAGCAGAAACGTGAGCAGCAGCTTCCAGGCACGGGCACCGAGTTCACACTGCAACAGTCAATTCCACAGTAATAGTGAAGATTTGGCTGCAAGTGATCAGCACAAAAATGAGTTCTGCCGCTAATAGAATATTGCTCTATTTGTCTACACTCATCTGTGCGGTTAACCTCTAGTTTTTAAAGCAGGTGATTCTTCATATTGAGTTGATTCATGAAAAGCACATCTACAAACCGTTTTAGGTTCCAAATTAGAGTTTTAGAAACTAGAATTGGTGTAGAGTTCAGCCGTGTCAATCCTTAGACGACAATTCAGTCTCTTCTAGCCTTGCTTTGCTTTGCGAAGGGAGAGAATAGCTACAGACGGAGCTGCAGCTTCGTGTGTAGGTGCTATTGAACGGAGTCCAACATCAACAGTGGCTTGTGTCAGAGGAAAAGTCAGGGTGGAATTGAAAGTGGGAGGTAAGAAAAAAAAAAAATACATTGTGTTGATTTTAGGTGTTAGTAATAACAGTGGTAATAAGCAGCGGGAGAAGAAGAGCATACAAGCAAAACAGTGCAGACATTCTTTGTTTTATGTGGACATTTGCCATTTCAACACCTGGATGATGGATGTCAATCTGTTCTCCGGGCGATGATGGTAAAGCGAGGCTTATAGCAGGACTTTAGATATACTGCACATGTATTGCGGTGAACTTTTCATTCCTTGCCAGTGATGTTAACATCCTGAGGGTTACTGTTGTTTTTTTGCGTTCACCATCAAAGGCAGATATTCTTACTGGCCTGAAACTCGTGTCTATCCATCAGATTACAGTAAAAAAAGCAACCGCATCTAATGAGGTAATCTGAATATAATGCAGGTGAGATTCCTAAAAGCTACGTCAACACAATGCAGATGGTTTGGATTCAACGTTATTATTGAATCTTCTTTCGCGGCCCCAAAATGTTTCCTTTCATTAATAGACACATTTAAAGAGATCAGATTTAACATAATGCGGTCTTTGAACTTTGTCCTCGACTTGAAACCATATTTGGCGATTTTCTCTAGTTTCCCTTTTTGTCTGCTGGCTCAGGAATGACTCACATATGTAATATTAATAAAACAGATGGCAAACATAATAGGACGCAGACCAACAAACAAACAAAAAAGAAGAGAAGACACTGATGGAGTCACATCAGCACAGATCCGTTGCTGTTTGTGTTCATTATGGTGAAGGTTTTGCGGTCTTTTTAAGAAGCCCAGACATGCTGCTTCACTCACATTTTCCTTCCTCAAATGGTATTTCATTAATTTTCAATCAGAGAAGACACAAATCATCATTACTTTCCACTTTTCCGATCTTATTATGTTAATTTATTCACCCCGGCAGTTCAGAGATGTTTTTTCGAGGCCTGAGATTGTTGATGGTCGTGCCTGGAGTAGCAACAAGGGGACGTGGAACTGGACTGCTGCATTTGAGGAAAAACATTAAGCTTCCTGACTTTGCCTTGTGGAGCAGCATCTGAACCTGATGTGAATTCCTTCCCCGCCAAAGTCACGACAGACTCCTTCACCGCTCGTGTCACAAATTCCTCTTGAAATGCGCTTATGCTTTTTTGTGTGCCGCGTTTTGCTTTTTTAAATCTACCACCGTCTAACTTTTATTTCTCCTCTGTTGCACCCTCACAACGGTTCATCTTGCTTGTGGAAAGCCTCGCTCCCCCAACACTGCTGACGCGCCGTCTTCTGTCTTTTTGGCCGCTGTTTTGTTATTGTACTCCCCCGTAGTTATATACCTTCCTACCCACCCCGCACCTTTCTATAATTTTTCCATCATTTTCATTCAAGCATGCTGGCCTTGTATAACCACCGGAAAGGAAAGCAGTAGTTCTTTCCAGTTGGGGAAGAAAACCTCAGTGTTGAAAATAACACATTGCTTTTGCCTGGTTCATAATTTATTCTTTGCTCCTTGTAACGGGGTGATTAATGAAATAAGTTTCCAGGGTCCCTCTGGTGAAAATTACATTTTTTTTTTTCAACCTTGTTATCATGTTCACATCATGTTCATGGCTGCAACTGCACAATGAAGCTGCACTGATATGCGTCTCAAAGGCAGATTCAGGCTTTCAGAGTTTCCTACATTATAAACCTAAAGAACCAATCCTTCTCTGCAACACAACTGCGTCCCTGCCTGGGTTTTAAACAAAACATCATTTCTGGCAGCATATCTGCTTTTCATGCTGCCACTATTTCATCCTCAGTCGCTCATTCTGATTTCAGTTGCAGGATCTCTCACTATTTTGCTATTTTTTTTTAGTTCCGCTGTGTCTCCTCTTAACATGTATCACTGAATTACTCCAGTTTTATAGCTTGCCGTCGTGTAGCGGACAGTATATTTGCAATGTCTGAGCAGAGTCAGCGGGCTCGAGCTGGTGTGCTCGAGCTGCAGCAAGTGAGGAGGTGTGGGCGGAGCGACGGGCATGGACTTCATAGATCTGCATATTCTAGAGGAAGCCAACATTGTAGAGTTACATCTAAGACATTTTAAGGCAGGAAGGCATTATTTTCATGGAATAAATATCTAAATGTAGAACTCTGACAGACAGAGGTTAGTTTGTAGGGATTTAATCAATAACCAGAGAGAGAGTTTTGGCTAATGACATGATAAAATATAATATATTAGCCTCTCTATTTCACAAGTCTTTGCGTAACATTGTGTGAGTTGTTGTACATGTAATCTGTTTTTCCTGTTCATCTCGTTTGTATGCCACCTCTTGACCAGGTCGTTATTGAAAATGAGAACCAGTTCTCAATTAACTTACCTGGTTAAATAAAGGTTAAATAAATAAATAAATAAAATAAGAATAACAGTGAGGGAAACTGATAACAGTTAAGGAGTCAAAACTGTTTATTTATTAAACCCTGTCTTTGTCTACCTCCCTCTTTGTCTCTCAGTCCTCGGGCCTCAGGGTCTTCGACTGGTCCAGGTGACTGACGTCTCCCTCCTGGTCGAGTGGGAGCCTGTTCGAGGGGCTGAGTATTATGTGTTGACATATCATCCCAAATTTGATGAGGGCGCCCAGGAGCAGGTAGGTCACATTTTACTTCATTTTCGAGTCACATCTGTGTCAAATACATATAATTCTTTCAACCCTCTGTGTCTTAGGTGCGGATCCCCAACACAGAGAACTCCTACCTCATCACAGGACTGGTTCCCGGGGTTACCTACATCGTCCAGGTATATGCCGTCATCAAGGACATCCAGAGCGAAGCGGACAAGATCGAAGCCACCACAGGTAAAGCGCAGACGGCTGGGAAACAACAGCGAGGCTTTTAAAAAGTGTGTTTCCTGTGAGTAAATTAGCGTTGGTCAGACTAAGCTCCGTTGCTGGTTGAGTGGAACTGGGCTGGGTGCAGCATGTTGTCTTTAAATGAGGCGGTTTAGAGGAAAGACAGATGTGACCTATTACAGACTCGTGTGGCTGCGAGGCCAGGTGTGGCCCGCAGGTCTGAGGGATTTAGCTGGATTTTTCTGTGGATTAAATAGTCACATTTGAGGTCAAACGTAAGTATGTGTGTGATGAGGCATGAAAATACTTAAATGTCAGGCTTTTAAACGTTTAGCGGAAGAAGGTGTTGCATTTTAAGAAACAAGAAAGATTACATTTGATCAATAAAACCTTTTCATATCACTTTTTGTTATGGGCAGTGAATGACTGGCCTGTTCTACTTTGATGATTTTTCTGCAGTTGCTTTCAGAGGATGAGCAGCATTTTTCATAGTATTTATTTATTCATCTATCATATCTGATTTTAGGCAAATGCTATGCTAAAAAAGCAATTAACAAGCTGAGGCCTGTCATCGCTAAGTGTTTCATTAAGCACTGCTTTGTTAACCATTAAATCTTATGGTAATTACAAGGAAATGGCTCCACGGATGTGTTTAATGTAAAATAGACGTGCTCACAGATGTGGTAGGAGACAGATGTGCAGAGAAAGAGATTACTCGACAGGATTGATGGGAGTGAGTGAGGCTTTTACAAAGTGGGAGAGACTCTAATATGTGGTTAGCTCGGTTTGCCATGGAAAACCCTGCGAAGCATGGCATTCCCATATGGGCATAAGAAAACACGCCATCATCTGGCTTATGGTTGTGTGAGGAGCACACAGCATGAGGCAGACATTTCACTGGTCGCATAGCTTTCGTTTCAACTTCAAACAATGATCTACTTCAAAAGAGGGTTTAAGTGACTGTTTTTCTGTTTTCTTTAGAAAAAACATATTAGCAGGCATAAAAAAAATAAAAAATGCTAACCCTTTTCATTTGGTGACATTTGTTTTGTTTGATGGTCCTGTTCTGTCTTTTTTCACCGTGCACCACAAATCCAGACAGCATTCCATATCGTCATATGGTCTCTATCTGCACATGCACTCACATGTTTTTCAAGTTCCCATGAAAAGGTGTGTAAAAGCATCTTGTCATCGTCGTCTGGATGAACTACAGAGTCGGGTCGTGCGGTGAGAAAGTAGAAACAGTGCTGCAAAAAATTGTCCTGTTACTTTAACTCAATTTTATGGGGATGAAATCAGATAAAAACAAAAAAGTGACTCAATAAAAATGCACTCTGAGGAAACATTGCTGCATTACATTTTATACATACATATAAATAATAAATAGACATTTGCAGCATCGGTATACAGCTGATAATCAATTACATATACAACCACCCTCCTGCTAGAATTAAGCAGAAAAGAGGACAAAACTAAGACAATTGTTACCCAAAAAATGGGTTTCTATTGACTTTATATAGCAATATTAAGCTACATAAGTCAAACAGAATTAACCGTATAGAAGCAACAACACAATATAGCATCACTAATACAGGCAGGGAGCATAAACAATAAAAGAATTGCACAGCGACTGCACCATAAACACACATAGTAAAGCAAAAAGAGTGTCCTCCTGTGGACACTGAGTTACGACACCTTGTTGTACTGACATATTGCACACTTGCTCTGAGCTTTGGCTCCGTGAAGTCCTTCGCAATCAACCCTGCGACTACAGTTTCAGTCTATTTCTTATCATTTATACTGAGTGCAAAATATATCTCTGCCTCATCTCACTCCACAAAGCTTTCAAACACACACGGATTGTCAAAATCAGCCAATAAGGCCCCACTGCATGCTAGAGAATTTACTTTGCACATTTTGTCTTTTAACCAAACCCAGCATGCACCTTTTTGTGTTTAGGTCACTGACTGAACCTAGGAGTTGTTTTGCCTATACTAACTACTCATCCTTCATTGTTATGCATTTCTTGTACAGTTCACAAACTGCTAGTCGTGGCCCAGTGATAGTAAACCTTTTTAGAGCGTCTACACAAACAGTACAAAGAGTCGCGACAAAGAGCGCTGTCCTTTGTCTCTCCAACTTGAGGACATTAAGGAACAGAGCGGGGCAGATGCTTTTTATTACACAAGCTTTAACGCCGGCTTTCCAGTATGAAGTTCACGTCTGTACACCCAGTTCCACCAAACCTTGTATCCTTCCCAGATGTCTCAACTATTGATGATATCCGAGTTCTTGGCCAGACAGAGGTCTCCATTCAGGTGGACTGGAGGAACCCGCAAGCTGAAGTGGATTACTTCAGGCTCACACACGTCGACCCGGCAGGACAGGAGGAGGAGCTGGATGTGCAGAGGAGCCAGGAGGCGCGCACCAAACACACTATTGTGGGTGAGTCCTGTCGCAGAGGGAACACAGGTTTGCACAGAGGACATAAAACTACCTGAACATTTCTGGAATCGTTGGAGTGTAACCTGATGTTTCTCAGGTGGTAAACCGCTTTAAACTGAAGGATCCCATGGCTGCCTTAAATAACTGGAGACCTTGAATTTACCTTCTTTAACCTGAACTCTGTTATAGTTTACCTTTTAACGGTAGAGGATCTTATTGTGTTGACCTTAGGGGTTGTTTTAATTTGGGATTCATGCTATATGCTTTATATTAGATTTTTTTTTCTTACAGACGTGCATTACAGATAAAGCTTATGTGAACACACATGCATTCAAAAAACACACTCATTCATACATATGCAACATGGATATGCAATTACGATAATTAAAAATATTATTAAGAAGTGCATAAATTAAAGGCATGTCATGCAAATGCAGAAAAAGTGGGATATCCTATTAAATGACAAACATGCATGATATATTATATCTTAAACTGGTAATACAATACATTAAAAAACAAATAATAGAAGATAATGTAATGGTATAGAACAGTGGCTCCAATCATTTTGACTTGTGAACCTTTAAAAACTATCAATGTCTACTGATTTCCCTTCTTAGACGAAACAAAAGAGACAAGAAATTGAGAAAAGTCACAAAAAAAGTAAACAGAATTTGTGCTATTCTTTTGGTTTTGGTCATCTTGTGATCCTTCAGAGTTCCCCAAAGTTGGTGAACCACTGAGCCCATTTCATCCTTTCCATTTTAGAGTTTAAAAAAACTGTCTTTCCACAGGTCTTTATCCAGGAACTGAGTACCAGATCTCAGTGCAGGCCATCAAAGGAACCACAGAGGGAAAAGCGTCCTCGGCCACCGGTGCCACAGGTCAGTGTCAACACAAGTCATTTAACCTAATGCGGCTCTGTCTTATTATCAGTAGGCAGGAAATGGGGCCCGATTTTCCCCCGAAATTGACTCCTGCCTGACATTAATTGCATTGAGACTGCATTTGTGCAACCACTGGCAGCGCCTGACACTTAAAATGATAGATCAGCCACTTGTGGAAGTGAAACACATTAAAGAAACAGCGAGGATAACCATATTCCACTTAGTTTTGAATTGGGTGCTGCATCAAACACAGCTCTTACCTCGTGTCAAGTCACCTATAATTCACCAGTGGTCAGAACCTAATAGGAAAAACACACAATCTGTCATACACAATACTGACACACCGTATTCTACAACCTGCTATTACCGTCCACACACAGCCAATGGTAATAGCATAATGAATACAGCCAGCAAGAGGCACGATTATGGGTTAATGATGGAGGGCTGGAATTTACAGCCTAATAATCTGGACAATTCTGTAATGGCTGCGGTGAGCCTGGTCACAAAGGGGAAACATGATATGAATGGTGTAACGACTAAAGGATGCTCCCTGATGGTCGGAGGAAGAGCGTCCATGATTTACAGGGTCCATCTGGTAATGTTGGATATTAGCATGTTGGTCTGACTGTGTGTTGGTCTGCTTTTAGGACGTGAGGAGGAATTCATTTCTCAGCTTTCACTTTAACAGCCTTTCCTCGACATTCAGCCGCTTTTAAAGTTATTTTTTAAGTGACTGATAAATGGTCCACAGTGGCACAACAGGTATTCAGTGACTCCCTTTATTATCTTCTCCTGTCTCTCATTCCCCTTTTCTCTCATCCACCTCCAGAGCTTACTCAGTTAAAGTCTCCGGCTCGATGGCTCTTCGGTTTTTCAACACAGAGGCAGCCGGTTTAATGGTTTTTAGTCATCAGTGTTCGCGAGGTATTTTCAGCACTCACCTCTTTCTTTTGAAGCCAGTCAGGTACTCAAGGGCCCCTGTCTTTGCTAATCTCGTGTGAGTGTGCCACCTACTTGTGCAGTAATTGCATGTGTGTTTATGTGTGGTCGTGTGTGTGTGTGTGAATGGGCTAATCTGCAGCAGACAGACAGCGGCTTGTCTCCACTCCAGTAGCTACAATCCTTCATTTTAGGTGTAGCACGAAAAGGCTTAGAGGTGATTGAAGAGGATAGTCCTCGGCTCTGTTTGCCAGAGAGGATGTGCTGGTTTCATGATGACTGGCGTGGCGCAACAGAGAGCACGGCCACCTATTATCTCACTAAACATGCTGTTTGCCTTCGGCCAGCGCGGTTATACGCGGCGGGAGATAAAAGGAACTAGAGGTGGGAATATGGAAAATCCATGAATGCAGAGCGAGCAGTAATAAGGAAAAATAGGACAGTAAGTCCAGGTTATAGCAAAAAAAAATAAAAAAAATGAGCTGAGATAATGGTACAACACAGTAAGGACACAGTGTGAAATCAAGATATTTATAGGGATATCAAGAGCAAGACTAAGAGAGGATACAAAAATAATGGGTCACAAAGAAGCAATTTCAGGGGTATTATGCAGCAGTATGTAAAACATTACGGCATAGCTCCCGCTGAGGTTTGTCCTACGAGAATAAACCTGATGTCGACCATAATAGAGGCTCCACAGTAGAAAGATTTCTTCCATTTTTTAATTATTTTTTTTCATCTTATATCCCTTTTCATTTTCTTGTGGGTTTCACAGTTAGCTACTGTCACTTTAGTTTAGTTGTTGTGGTCCCGTATAGCTCGCCCTTTTCCTCACCTGATTTC